AATTGTGAGTATATATTTCTTTTATTTTTCAACTGMTATTGTAAAAATATGTTAGGAGCTTTGTATTAAATTTTAAAATCTTAGATTTAAAAGGAAAATTTTTTATGAATTTCTAGCATAAAATAATTTACGATTTTTCGTGATTTTTACATAATATGTTGCCAAAGTTCAAACTTTGAATGCTTATAAAAAAAAAATGTGACTATATATTTCTTTTATTTTTCAACTGCTATTGTAAAAATATGTTAGGAGCCTTGTATTAAATTTTCAAATCTTAGATCTAAAAAGAAAAACTTTTATGAATTTCTATCTAAGATAATTTGAACATTGCCGTAATTTTTACGTCATTATTAGTCAAAATTTGAACTTTAAATGCTTATAAAAAAAACCGTGCCGATGTATTTTTAATATTTTTTAACTGCTATTGTTACAATGTGTTATAAGCCTTGTATTAAATTTTCAAGCTTTTCCACCCTACAAATAAAATTTTATCGATAATTATAGAAAAAAAAAAAAACCAAAAAAGTTGAAAAATTAAAATGTCAGCAAACAGGTCAAAACAAATTTAAATATTTTGAAAATTTTGAAAATTTTATCAAAATATAGAAAATGTCTATATAAATATTCAATCAAAATTTCAAGTATCTTTGGTCATTTGTTTTAGAGTTACACCAAAATAAGAAAACCGCTAAAAATGTGAAATCCAGTGAAAATCCAATGTTGTAAAAATTTAAATTTCAAATGCTCATAAAAATTTAATGCGAATTTCCGGTGGGCTTTTTATTTGTGATAAAGATTGAAAAACTTCTAAGAAATCTTGTATTAAATTTTTAAATCTTAGATTTAATAGAATTTTTTATGAATTTCTAGCTTAAAATAATTTGTGAATTTTTGTGATTTTTACGTATTTTGTCAAAATTCAAACTTTGAATGCTTATAAAAAAATTGTGACTATGAATTTCTTTTATTTTTCAACTGCTATTGTAACAATATGTTAAGAGCCTTGTATTAAATTTTCAAGCTTTTCTGCCTAACAAATACATTTTTATCGATATTAATTTAAAAAAAACTAATAATGATCGAAAATTGCAAATACCTATGAATAGTTTAACTTAAGTAGAAAATTTTTGAAAATTGCATGGTGGATAGAATATACTTATATAAACATTCGGTGAAAATTTCATGGATCTATGGTCATTTCACATTTGTTTTAAAGTTACAACTGATTGTGCGTAAAATTTCCCGTTTTTCTCTTAATTTTTAGTTTGTTTTTCTCGATTATTAAGAAAAGTATTAAAATTTTTTTTAATTTGACTCCCCAGAGTACCAACTACATTCACTTTCTGATCTAACGAAGTACTGAAGTCAAAAATCGAAGCACTTTTACTGCCCCAAAAACGTGATACTAACAAAAAAAAACATACACACACACATCATAGTAAAAATCAATACATTCATCGCTCCTCTCAGAATCTAAAAATCACTAATAATATTGTAAAATCAATACATTTATTGTTCCGTTCCATTTATTGTTCCAAATTGAATAAAACGTAAATTATGATACCTACAGTTACCATCACGCTATAATTTGATTTTTATATCATTGTGTTTTTTTTCTGTTTTTTGATGTTTTACTCGATACTTTTTCAATATGCCTCCTATGAAAATGGCTCAATTTTGTACTATACAATTACAAGTWATAATAAAAAAAAAAAAATATTGTAAATTAAATATAATATACTAAATAATAAATAAATAATAATAATAATAATAGGTATTATATTTAATTTATAATATTATTATTTTTTTTATAACTTGTAATTGTACCTATAGTTCAAAATTGGGCCGTTTTTATAGGAGGCATATTGAAAAAGTATCGTGTAAAACATCAAAAAACAGAAAAAAACACTATGATATAAAAATCAAATTATAGTGTGGGAAGTGATGGTAACTGTAGGTTTTTTTTATTAAGTATATAATATACTTATACTATGAAATAGCCCTCTCGCTGATCTTACAGGTGGTTTTCAGGCACTACATACATGAGTAATCGGTGACATGTGGTAATGCCTATGATAACATATTTACAAATAACATTATAACAATTTATACAAATAAGTTGTTGTAAACTATATTTATAAATACAGGTACCTTGGTAAATTTATCAAGACGTATCATTGTATCAACAACTGTAAAATATACAGCTTAGACTCGATTTTAKATACATAGCAACGCATTATAAATATAAATAACACACACAATTTAATTCAAATAATTAAATTTGAAAATTATTTTTTTTATAACATTCATATTAAATTAAATTTTACAAATTATACAGATTATAACAATTAATAATTATGTCAAAACAATCGATTGATTTAAGTCAAGCCAAGCTCATGAACAATATAAATAACAATAATAGGGAAGTTACTAAAAATAAACGGAAGAAGAAAAGAAAATGTGTATGTTGTTCGAGGATATTACGTCCTGACGAATCTTTGGAAAAAATCATGGCCAATGACAGAATGATATTCTTATCCTCGATCCATCCTCCCGTCGTTCTTGGCCACAAAAACTGCAATCAAGCTCCGATCACTACACCGAAGCACAAGGGATTTTTGTTGGACTTGGAAAAATATGGAGTAATTATAATTAGCTTATAAGTTATTAGTTATTACAGATAACAGTCACACAAACATGTTGTATGTTGTATTTTGACTTCTGGTTATGAAAATGATTTTATCTTAGATTTCTGTATAATTTTTGGCAAAAATTGAAAAGCACCAACATTATGATTAAATAAATAAGTTGTTCTAGGATTAGATTGATACCTACCAAATTAAGAAGTTTTTCTGTAAAGAATTATCTTTCCACATATTAAAATAAATACCTACGCACCTATTTGATAATGACATAATTATTTTACACAGCTATTTGATAGCCAATTATTAGACGGAATATTTTCTGTAGCTACCAAATTAATTCGATTAACTAAAAATGATCAAGATTCAAAATCTAATAACGGTTCGTCCATAATGCAAAGTATAAAAGTTTCTAATGAAATATTTTGATAATTCTAAATAATCGTGTCTAATAAAATCTACCTAAGGTTCTTATTATAGCCTAACCTTGCCCTTGATAATTTAGTTTAAATTTTATTTGAAAGATTGGGTCGGGCTATCACTATTGGTGTGAACGGATTAAATTGGTTGTATTTTACGAGAAAAGGTTATGCACATGTAAATTTCCAAAAATTTTATTTTATCCCATTTAAAATATTACAATGTTTCAATATGAGGGTTTCAAAATCATTGGAAAATAACAATAATGTACAAAATTAAAAAATATATAAACAGCAGAAGAGACCGATAATACCATGTCAATTATTTTTGAAAGACAGCTATCAATTTTAACTTATTGATTACTATATGTTAAGTAAGATGATAACCACATTAGGAGGAACTATTTACGCATTTACATTTACCTTTTATCATTTGGAATTTACGCCGATTGATTTTAATTTAGCAATTATGAAATTGATCGTATAACATTTTTTTGTGTCTGAATAAATTACATCAATCTGCCTGTATACTTCAGGCACGGTAAGATCATGACCGAAAAAATATGGCAAAACGGTTTTAGATGGAGGTCTGTTCGTGATCTTAACGTGCGCAGAGTATAWAGTGTCACAGAAACTACAATAGTTAAATGARGATAGAATGTAGAAATAAAATAATATTATTTTAAGTTCCTTATCAATAAATTTCCAAGTTTAAAAATTATGCTTGAATATAGTTACAGTTATCCTTAGTGGCTATAATGTCGTAATTAAGTATTGCCGTGTACAAAATATTTATGTTACTTATTATAACCATTTTTTTAGACAAATTGGTCACCAGGCGCCGTAACTAAATATGTGGCCATATTGATGGAGCAAACAAAAGCAGGAACTCTTGGACCATTACCCGGGAGGATAAGAAATAATAGGATAATACAAGACTAGTCATCAATATTTTAAGAAGATAAAAAAAGTATTGAATCCACCTAGTAGTGATGATTGTTAAGAGTCAAGCAAACACTTAGAGCCATATAGGGATTTAAGAAACTGGTGGGGATTAAACAGTTCTAGAATATTGTATAAATTTGCCTAAACCAGCCGTAGCTCCAAAAATGAATGTGTAAGCCACTTCATACTGCGTGGAATGTTGCGGTGCTGGAACAAAAAAGAAGAATGTCGTGGATTTTATGAAATTTTTAATAAATAATTAATATATTATATACATTAATTTTGACTGCGTGTTAATCGCTTATAAGTACTAAATTTGATCGGCAGGTAATTATATTTTATCATGTCGTTGCAGCATGATGCCAGTAATTGAAACTTAACACGGTAATCAACTTCTCATCGAAAACAATAACAAATGTTACCCTTATAAACAAATTAACAGGATAGCAGACTATCTACGTTTTATAGAGATAATCTTTATATATATTGTAAGGAATAATAGTTTCATTTACGAATTTTTAAGACTAATAATATTTTGTATCCCATTTCGAAGACGCATGGTGATGGGCGTACAATTACGTTTTACGTACAATCATTTTTCATTATAAACAAACTTTGCGTAAGCTTATAGAAGATCCTGAACTTCTCATTGGCTCCCCGGGGTACTACGACGCGCTCCAGGTGATTGAGCGAGACCTCTTCAATACAGCCGAACACAGAATATCGGGAATGTCTAGAGAGGTGACCGAGGCAGTGGCGTAATTAGCAGCAAAAGTTTGGGGTAGCGAACACTTTTATATGCTTCATCTTCTCCAATAAGCACAATGGGTGGATACCATTTACACATAACTTCCTCGTAAATAATTATTTTATTTGCAGTTTTAAGACACGAAAATTCCCAAATAACGTATTCTTTAAGATAAATAAATAGTAAATACACACTGACGCTGATTTTTTTTTTATTAAATTGTATAAATATTTTTGGGGTAGCAAAATGATACTCTTGCGACCCCATAATAATTTTGGGGGTCGCGACCGCTACCCCTCGCTACCCCATAGTTACGCCACTGGGCCAAGGTTGTGCCTTGGGGCCATTCCAGTTCGGGTATCGAAACACAAGTATGTGCTCGACATTGTCCGACACGCAACTGCAGTAATTGCATCAAGGACTGTCCATACGATGGAAGTAATATTGGAAACACCTGTGTTCCGAGAGAGCTTAGGTCATGTGGTACGACATTTGGACCCTTGGGACTATCCTGCCCTCCCATTTGATGATGTTTGGAATGCGTTCATTTTATATTATACGCAAACATTGTGCAACATTGCAGTTGTCCACAATCATCAAAATGTATAAATTATAAGCGAAATTCGAGATTTTTACTGTGCAATAACCGAGACAACGTTAATTTTTTTGTTAATATATATAAAAATAAAGTTGCATATAATAATAATTATCATTGATAACATAATCTTTACTGATTTGAATTATTTTAATTTAAGAATAATATCCACAGAGTTTCCTCTGAATTTTAACGCTAAATTTTATATTCTATAACGCATGTGTATAAGAAATGTATATTGCTTATTAATTCGTATGAATATT